AGTGTACCAGCTCCACTGCACAGTCTCACAGCCACCTGTGGGCGCTCTCTGGTGACACCACGCTGTCAGAGCTGGGGTGTCAGTGTACCAGCTCCGCTGCACAGTCTCACAGCCACCTGTGGGCGCTCTCTGGTGACACCACGCTGTCAGAGCTGGAGTGTCAGTGTACCAGCTCCACTGCACAGTCTCACAGCCACCTGTGGACGCTGTCTGGTGACACCACGCTGTCAGAGCCAGGGTCTGTCATGTACTCCAGCTCAGCCCATCAGCTCGCACGTCACAGTCATCAAAAGACCACACTCCCCTTATAGTAACGAGGAGATGTGCAGGAGGATGTGCACAGAGCATATCAGACCTTCCACCCTACTATGAAAATGACCCAAAGCACTTGGTCTTAGAGCAGTGGTTCTCACCCTGTGGGTCGCGACCCCTTTGTAACAATGAAAATACATCTTGCATATTAGATATTTACATTACGATTCATAATAGTGGCAAAATTTACATTACGATTCATAATAGAGGCAAAACAGTTATGAGGTAGCAACGAAAATAATTTTCTGGTTGGGGGGTCAGTACAACATGAGGAACTGTATTAAGGGTCGCGGCATTAGGAAGGTTGAGAACCACTGGCTTAGAGGGAGGTGCCCCTTGTACATAGTGCAGGAAAACCTGAGCGTGTGAAACATACCAGGACAGATGAATCCTCTTTTTAAAAATCAATTATCATTTTCTCCTCATTATGGACCAAATGTATGTTTCTAATGTATATAAGAGTATCTACTATTTTATAAATATAAAAATACCTACTACTCTGAGACATCTACAGTCCCCTAAGCTCGCACACACTGGGACGTCTTACCGGACTCTCAGAGTGACACTGTGACAAAGCCTTCACTCATCACAAACAAGTAAGTGACATCTGAGAAACACGGGCTTGTTCAAGGTTGGGGAGGGTAAGAGAAACGGAACTAGAACTAACCGTCTACTGAGTGTGCTTTTACCACATGGCACTTAGCTCCCGGGATGAAACTTCACACTGCTCGACGGGAAGTCTGAACAGACACCCCAGTGAACATTTGCAAGTAATTTCACTCCTGTTTAAAAGGAGTGAAAATCTAAACTAGAGATGAGACTAATTATTTCTGGATCCTACTACAAAGTGAGCACATTTCCTGTAGTGGAAAGTAAGAGGGGCGGGTCGCACCCTTGCACGAACCTGCAGGAGATTGGTCAGCAAGATGAGCGTCTGCTTTCGGATGAACGGATCTGAATCCTTCAGGCACAGGGAGATGTTGGGAATGTACTTGTCCACCATGACCGTGTAGCGGATGCAGAGGTCGCACATCACGACGATGACGTTGTTGCGGACGGCCACGTCCTCGCACACCTCCAGCTCTCGCACCAGCGTGGGGATGCTCTTCTTTGCCAGATCCTCGTGCTGTAAGCACAGCTTACCTGGCACGGGAGAGAGGAGGATATCTCGTTTCTGTTCTCCTTCTATGCCTAAATCTTCTCTAGACATATCTTGCTATGAATTTTACTTAAAGTTAAAACATCATGCCCACAATCACAAACGACAAAAAACTAGAGGCAGACTCACTCATCTTAAATGTCAGAAAGTTCAGAATACCTTCAGGAAAAATGGACTCCTACAGAGTTTCATGAGATATATACTATGGGATACTTCTTTACACTAATATATGTAAAATCATTTTCCTTTTAAAGTCAGCGTTCGAAGGTTGAAGTTATCTATTAACTCGGACAATGACCAACAAACTTTCTTTTTTTTTGAGACAGAGTCTTACTGTGTTGCCCTCGGTAGAGTGCTGTGACATCCTGGCCTTTAGCAACCTCAAACCCCTGGGCTGCAGTGATCCTCTTATCTCAGCTTTTCAAGTAGCTAGGACTACAAGCACCTGCCACAACGCCTGGCTACTTTTTGTATTTTTGTAGAGATAGAGTCTCCCTCTTGCTCAGGCTGGTCTCAAATTCCTGAGCTCAGGCAATCCACCTGCTTCGACCTCCCAAAGTGTTAGGATTACAGGTATGAGCCACTGCGCCCAGCTATGACCAACAGATTATAACAGGTAATACATTTTACTTTTGGTTATACATATACTTTACCACAGCTAAATACCTTGGAATGAATTTGAAATTCAAGCTAGGTAAGTAGGAAAAGATGATCATCTCATATTTTTATTTCTTATTGTTAGTAGGAGGGACGCTGAATTTTATTTTTATGTTCTTTTTGTGGGCTGGAGAATGTTCTACTCTTATTTGCCATCCTTAAGTATTTGAAAAATAACCAATATAACAATAAATATTCACGTATCTGCTTGTATTTGAGATAGGCTCTCGCTCTGTTGGCCAGGCTAGAGTGAAATGGCATCATCACAGATCACAGCAACCTCAAACTCCTGGGCTTTACAATATTCCTGCCTCAGCCTCCCCAGAAGCTGGAACGACAGGTGTGTGCCCCCATGCTCAGCTCATTTTTCCCTGTTTTTTTTTTTTTAAAGAGAGAGGGTCTCACTTGTGCCCAGACTGGTCTCAAACTCCTGGTGTCAAGTGATCCTGGCACCCCCAAAGTTGGTGAACCTTACCCAGTATAAAATACACAATCACACTAAGGGAAAAAAATTAAATTATAGCACCTACTGGTCAGTGTTTTAAAGATTCACAATAATTTGAGTTCATGGACAAATAATGTTAATAGTTCATCTATCAGGTCTGAGAAGTATTTTTTAAAAAACATCGTCTTTTACAGACTGAACTTCAAATTTATTTTTTCATTCCCAGATATCAGTGCAGTGGAGGCACACAGTTCTTAACAGATTTCACTGTGCTACATTATGAGTACAAAAAAAATTACAGAACATTAAAGGCTCGTGAAGGTATTGGAGAGAAAGTACAGAAGCAGGGATAACTGAGATAAATTAACACGATCCTACTACAAAACCAAGGCTCCCTACAGACGGAGCACAATCTTGGGTAGTTGTCAGGCTGAGGGCTCTTAGCGTGAGCCAGGCTATCTGTCAGTTTCCTGGGTTTCACTGTTTGAACTCATTGTAAGTCTACCACTCTGTTAAGCTTGGAGAGCTGGGCACTCACAGGAGAATTACCTCCCCAAATGACAGGCGCTAGAGCACATGTGACCTCAGCAGCATACAGCACGTTACTACGGCTGGGCTTTTGTTAAAGACAAAAGCTACACACACACCGTGACTGTACAGTTCTGTTTCCCCTGTGGCTTTCTTACCTAAGGTGATGATGGCATGTGCCCTAATCACAGAAGGCATGACACAGCCCTGGATCTGGAAGGGCGGCTGAGAGGCTGGGTCGTCACTGGTGCCCTGCGATGGCGGTACTACGGAAAAGAGGGAAAGGTTTACTGCCAGAACCTCACTGGTACACGCAGCCTTAAAGCAGCACGGTGCAGAGTAGGATTTCAGGGGCCTTACGGTGGTCCGCTTCAGCAGAAGAAGCCAGGATGGACTGGATCAGAAGGAAGACTCGCTTCTCTACTCTGGCTGGACACAGTTCGGCTATATCTCCTAAGGTAAAAATGTACTTCACCTACGAAGAGAAGTGGTTTGCAGTAAAAATAAGGCCACGGAGAAGTTAATTCCAGCTAGATTAAGGAAGTGTTCGTGGAGTGTTTACCCCTAGATGTAAAAAACTGTACTTTCTTTTGTTTAATAAAAATACCTGGCCATTGTAAAAAAATTGTGTGTACACCTTTTTTTCAAAGTATTTCTATAGTTATGTGGCTTTATGTTTGCCTCTCTTACACAGTTACTAATAATGCTATTTTGAAGTTTGCAATTATTCCTTTGAATAGTAGGTACCCTTTAATGCAATATACTACAAACAGGTTTAATGACTACATACGTATGCCATTTAAAAACCTCAGATGTCATCATGATTTATTTCACTATTCCACTATTAATGAATACTCACGCTGTTTCTAACCCTTTGCAAAAGTTTACACGAGCTCTGGAGAGCACCTGTGTACCCTGAATACTGCTCTATTTCCTTAAAAGTGAAAACCGGGGTTACAGAGTATATCAAAACCTATTTTACATGTTAAAACGTATTTCCAAATTGCTCTCCAGAATGGTGTCTATTTAGACTTCTATCCAAAACATACCGAGTATTAATACCTGCTTCCTTGCAGATGCCATCACTGTGTTTTTTTATTATTTTTTTAAAGTTTTTTTTTGAGACAGAGTTTCACTTACTAATCCTCGGTAGAGTGCCGTGAAGTCACAGCTCACAGCAACCTCCAACTCCTTGGGCTTAGGCGATTCTCTTGCCTCAGCCTCCCAAGTAGCTGGGACTACAGGCACCTGCTACAATGCCCGGTTGTTTTTTTGTTGCAGTTAGGCTGGTGCTGGGTTTGAACCCATCACCCTCGGTATATGGGGCTGGTGCCCTACTCACTAAGCCACAGGCGCTGCCCACACTGTGTTTATTAATGATGTTAAGCATTACTGTTCTTTTTTCTTTACCTCCAAAATAGAAGGGTGATAACTAAAGAGTATAATGTCAAATAAATGCTTATTCTACGGTAAGAAAGCCAATAACAAGATGTATGTGGGTTTAAAAAAACCTTGAACATGCCCTATCTCTTGATAGATTAAAGAAACACTTAAATTCTACATAAAGAAGCATGGCCAAACTTTCTCATCTGGATTTGGATTGAAGAGTAGCTTCTGATAACATACTTAACAGTTGAAAAAAATTCTTAGGTGGGGAAACTCATTGACCTTGCTAAGCATTTTTCTTAGTGTAGACACAGAACCTGCCCAGAAATATTAGAAGAGCAAGACCTTCTAGAAACCTTGGGCCAAGCTACCCGTCACGGCCATCATCCCTCAAGTGCCCAGATTCCCACCACAAGACTTTTTATTAAAGAATGTGTGACTGGCACAATGGTCTTCTCTTTCAACAAATCTAAATGTGGTCTGTGCTTACCAGGAACTGTAAGAGCTAGGCTGACACAGCAGGAACTGAATGCAGAAAGAGTTGCTCTACTGATTGATATAGCGGGGAAAATGGCACGTTTTGGTTACATGATGGCCTGTTCTGAGGGCATCAAAAAGCAGCTGATTATTTCCTTTCTTGGACAACGTCAGAAGTTGGAATTAGAACTGTCGTAACACATCTTGTCGACAGCCGGCTGGCTCAACACGTCCAGGCTCACAGGACCCCCCTGCGTTGTTAGAACAGTTTCTAAAGCAGGGCTGCCCTGTGATACCATCTTGCTTCTCAAGGTCATCTGTGTTTTCATTGCCAAGTTTCTCATTTTATTTTAGATTATCACTTTGCAGCAACTGCTCAGTCAGTACCGTTCCCCAGTTCTACAGTTTGATGTCCAAACAGCTTGGAAGACATAATTTTTTTTTTTTTTAAATCAAATGAACCAGTCAAAAAAATAAAGCATATATGCACTTTATTATTTTCTTACCTTACTATTTCTAAGCTTAACTTTACCAAGCTTACAATATATATTTTATTTTCCTTATTAGAACCAGGTTTCATCTAAGATCTAACTGGATGAAACATTTTACTTATTTATTTATTTATTTTGAGACAGAGTCTCACTATGTCGCCCTCGGTAGAGTGCCGTGGAGCCACAGCTCACAGCAACCTCAAAGTCTTGGGCTTAAGCGATTCTCTTTCCTCAGCCTCCCAAGTAGCTGGGACTCCAGGCGCCCACCACAACACCCGGCTATTTTTTGGTTGTAGTTGTCGTTGTGGTTTGGCAGACCTGGGCAGGTTTGAACCCGCCAGCCCCGGTGTATGTGGCTGGTGCCCTAACCGCTGAGCTACGGGCGCTGAACCTGGTTGAAACATTTACTGTCAAGTTTCCCCCCAGATGATAAGTACGTAAGAAAAACATAAAATAGGTTATCAACAATTTTTTTTTTTTTCTAAAAAGAGAGTAAGCTCTAGGCTAGGAGGGCTCTTTCTTATTAATAGCATTTAAGGTGCTCATTGCAGCATCGTTGCTGCTATTTATAAGCCGGAAGAGAAAATAATGGTTGACACAAGCAACTCCTTACCAGCAGGTCTTCGTCCAGGTTTCCCGCTCCACCCTCCTTCAGGACGATGTTGGACAGGCAGTGCTCACAGGTGGCGAGCACGTCCCCACACACCTGGTGCAGCAACTCCTACGGCAAGGCAAAGGTCACCTCTGAAGGGAGGAGCGGTCACATCTCCCAGGTGACCCATGAGACGCATTCCCAGGAGGAACCCTTCTAGCAGTCTCGCCAGGAGACCGGCTAAGCCGAGTCTGCAAGTGCTTGCCTTTTGCCCATATGGGGCAGATGTAGAGAGGAAGATGATCAATGCACTGTTATCTGCAAATTCTGCTTGGCTGGTCTCATGGCGAGACTGCTAAAAGTGCGTCCTTATGGTTTCGGACAAGTTTTGGGAAAGCCACAAAAGCAGACGCTATGGCAGATCCACTTAAAGATTAATGGCTTCCAAGTCCTTGACCAGGTGGAAAATTGTCTAGTAACTGTTCTTGAAATAAGGATGGCAAAGAAGGGAAAGGATATCTGAAGGTGTCACAGGCCTTATCAAAGATAACCTGATAGAGTTCCCTCCAGGAGATCAGTGTCAGGCAGCGGCGTTATTGCCCTAGCACCGAGGTGGGGACTGTCTTAGGGAGTCACGTTTTTTATCAGCCAGATCTTCTGGAGTGTCAACTGCTAGTCATACTAGTACTGCCTTGTGGGAGCAATAGCCGCTGCAGTCTACACATCCTTACAGGTCTTCTGTCTATAGAGAAGGCCGCTCAAGCATTGAAACAGAATAATGTGACTAAGTACAAATCAGGCAGAAATACATCCAGCCATCTGTGGGCCCACCTGCTCCTCCACCGCTGTCTCTGCAGATGTCCTACAAAGCCTTTGCAGGGCGTCAACGGCTGAACTGATCAACTCCAGAGACCACTGAAATCCAATCAGCTTACATCTGATAACACCTGAGAAAAGTCAAAACCCTTGAAGTGTAACTGCTTAAAAACATACGTACATATAAAAACCTGTAATGAATGAAGGGGAACGCCTCTTTAAGAAAGATTCTCCTTTAGACACTCACCAATCACCTTGTCCCGGGTGCCCTTAGGAAGATGCTTTGCTATATGCCCGATAACACATAGGATATGTCCTAAGGTGTTTGAATTGGGATTCTGCTGACTAGAGAAAGGGCAGGAGAAATGTCAAGAGAGAAACAAGTTAAACATTGTTGCCAAAAAATTCCTTTTCTTCTGGATTATTAAAAGTTATCCTTATTTCTCATTTTTTTCTTTCTTTTAAGACATAGGGTTTTACTGTCACCTAGGCTGGAGGTCAAGGGCACCATGATCATAGTTCACTGCAACCTTTGAACTCCTGGGCTCAAGAAATCCTCCTACCTCAGCTTCCCAACTACCTGGGATTGCAGGTGTGGGCCACTATGCCTGGCTAATTCTTTTATTTTTTTTGTAGAGATGGGGTCTTGCTATTTGGCTCAAGCTGGTCTCAAATTCTTAGCCTCAAGGAATCCCCAGCCTTGGCCCCCTAAGGTGCTGGGACTACAAGTGTGAGCCACCGAGCTGGGCCTTGATTCTTATTTATCAAGTTCATTTTTATGCCAGGTTAAAAAGACAAGTAGCAGTAAATAAACAGCTATCAAATAGGCCACCTCCTTAAAGCATGAGCTTTGTTTCTAAGAATCTGGACTGTGCCATCAGTGGTTAAATTGCAAGCGTGCAAACCTGCTGATTTTCTCCCAGGCCTCGATGATTTTGGTGTAGTTGAGCTTGGGGGACGAGCACGCTATCTTGGAGAGCAGCATCCAGGCTGGTGCAGAATGTTCCATGCCAGTGTGTGAGATCACGTTGTTTATAAAAGTGGGTGAGAATTTATCTTTCTTGGCCCAAATATGAAAAGCCTTATTTAGATAGCGGCTGGGAAAAAAAATGACAGAAGGCAGAATTGTCACTATAAATACACAAAACTGTTCAGATCAGCCCTCACTGAAAGGGCCTCGATGTCTGCTGCTGCAGGACCCCGCTGACACGGGAAATATCCTCTGGAACAAACAGGTTCCTAGCTCAGGGCTCATCTGGTACCATCTAGATGGCATTTTAATTTTTATTATATTGAATAAGCTGCATTTATTGTTCTCCTCATAAAATACTTATCTTTTTTAAAGCAAACAATAAAACTTCCCAATTTATTTGAGACTTTTCTCATCTCCTACGAAATTTCTACACAAAATGAAATAGGTTTCTGACAATAGAGACATACAGAGTTTGTAGGGTTACAGTGGAAAAAAACCAGACACACTGTCCTTTTTCCAAGGGAAGAAAATGACTTCCTAGTGCTTACATATGGTGATACTAACTGAGCCAAGATTTGCTATAGTTTACTACCCCCACTCAGAAACAGTTCAAGCCTTTATAAAATAAAATAAAAACTGCTTCTGATGTATTTGAGTGCGGGTGTTATGTTCTACTTGTTTTCAAACCATCTCTCCTCTTACTTCTTCCTGAAGTACGGCACAAAATCACACAACTCAGGAGATGGTGCTGTATTAGAGGAAAAGACATTTCTCCCCCAATTAATTTTTCTTAGAGTTCTGGGAAAATGTGCACACGTACAAAGATCAGTAAGAGTCTCTCATTCAATTTTTTTTAAAAAGGGAAATTCTCAAAGCATGCAGAACAAGGCAACTATAACAAACTAAAATACACCCACGTACCACAGTAAGCATATGGTTTTGTTAATGCATTAGCTCTCGATTAAAAACAATCTATCCGCATATGTCAAGAATTTTACTGCAGTTAGCGCACAACATGACTTCCATACGATTCATGTCTGAATACCACAAGATGCAAGAAATCAAATAATTTTAAATTTACTTAAAAAGAATAGCACAAATATTAAGTGAAGTTTCTTATATAAAGCCAACAGAATGGAGAACAAATTCTCTGAAATTCCAATTTTTAAATCTCGAATCTCGCTTTTCTTTGGCAGCTGATACCCAACCACATCAACAGAGCAGTTCCCGGCAGGCCTCCCACACCGGTCATCAGGCAGCCCTGCTGTGGGCCTCCAGCTCCCTATGGTCAGGAGGCCATTTAAACACTAACCCACCTCCACGTAATGTCAGCACCCATGGCCACTCGAGTCCCCCTTTTACTCGCCCTCCACTCAAGGTTAAGGACAATATCCTTGGCCTTTAGCTCTATCTGGTCGAGCACTGGACCTGCTTTCATTTCCCTTCACTAATCCCTTTTTTCTAAGTATGCTAATGGCTGATTTTGAAAAGCTCCATTCTTGGTCCTGAGCTTTCATCTAGCACCCAACCCTAGGTGATCTCATTCATTGTCAAGAGCTCCCCACTCACAGGAGACAAAGCACCCCAAGTAAAAACTGAACTTCCACCTCCAGCCTGCCTTCTGGACCTCTGCTGTCCACAGCGCAGTCCACGCCTGGAGCCTTCCGGCTGCTGTGCCCTTCACTGCCATTCCTGCCTGGAAGCCCCCACTCTTCTGGCTGCCTGAATAATCCCACAGCTCCTTAATATTCAGCTCAGGCCACCACTTCTGGGAAGCCATCCTAAGCTAGAAGAAAGAGAGAAGGAAGAAGGATACATAAAGGAGCAGGAGGAAGGTGAAGAAGAGGAAAATGAAGAAGAAAAATAAAGAGGGGGAGGAGGAAAAGGAACAAAAGAGGGAGAGAAGAAGAAAGAATCACCAAGACGCCATGCGACTCGACGCGCCCGTAGCCCGCTTTGTACTACAACTGCGACTGTGTCTCTTTCCACTGGACTTGAGAGCAACGTGAGCACAGCAAGTGGGCCCAGTGAATTCTGTGAGTTCCAGCACTTAGAACGGTACTTGGAAAATCAGGTCTGCACTACGTTTGTTCAGTCATAAATCAACCATTTCCTCCTCTTTTCCCTCCAATCCTCAAGCTCCACCTTCACCAACTCTACCACTTCCGGCTCTCCTGAAGCCCACAGCCTTCCCCTTAGTTTAGGCCAGTGGTTCTCCACCTTCCTAATGCCGTGATGTCTTTTCATTGTTACAAAGCGGTCGGGACCCACAGGCTGAGAACCGCTGGGTTAGGCCCCCTTTCTATGTGACTTGACTACCCTTCCTGTATTCCTCACCGACTGTAAATTCATCAACCGCCCCCACCTGTTTTCATGCGCTCAATTACAACTATCCAGTTTCGTCTCAGGCCCAGCCCCTGCACCCCAGCCAGCCACACTGGAGCCCAGCTGCACCCCAGGCTGTTTCCCCACAGGGGGTGCCCTTTAGCTTTCAAGTTTCATCTCAAAGGTCACCTATTCTGTGAAGTATGCTCTGCTCTGTCTTTCTGCAAACTTTTCTTGATAGTCTAGCCATAGTTAAGAACTTAACATTTTCTTTACGAAGGTTTGTAGAATTCTTTATGCCACCAACCCTGCCTTCTAGTTTCAATAAGCCTTTTGCTAAAAAAAAGAAAATTGATTCCCTAGTTCTGGGGCTGTCATACCTTTTCATCACAGTCCCGCCTTAAACTATTAAAAATTACTGACCCCCCCCCCAAAAAAAAACTTTTATGTGGGCTATATCTATCAATTGTCGTCATGCCAGAAATTAAAGTTGAGAAATTCAAAATTACTTGTCAATTCATTTCATAAGAATAATAAACCTACTAAGTTAACAATATTATTTTACAAAAAAATAACTCAATGTAGAGAGAAGTGTGCTGTTGTTTTGGGCTCTTTACAGTGAATTAAACAGACGACAGGTGGAATCTCATGTCCGCTTCCGTACCCGATCTGTTTCAATTCTGTCATACAGCTTCTGGAAGACTCCTCTGTAATATTAAGATGCTCTATCTGTGAGTGTTTTCTACTATATATTATGCTGTACAGGATGCAGGGGGAAGTGAAGAAAGTGATCAAACTATAGTCACCACAAAAACACTAAGAGATCCGAAGCAGGTCAACAAAAAAAGGCACCACCATTGAGCCTTCACATACACTAAATGACACAGAAAGTTGGTTTTTCAAGATCAGTGGAGAAATGTATTAATACAAAGCCTCGGCCTTGTATAATGAGCAGAAGCCACACAGTCAGCATACCTCAGTCCCGGGCTCTCTGTGCTGAGGAGAGTAAGAAGGGCCCACGCCAGCACCTGGCTGTTGTCTCCGGTGTGAAATTTACTGTGGTGCTTGATGTTCTGTAGCAGGACCTGGTCGAGGCACTCCAGGGCCTTCTCCTGCACGGTGCTCTCACAGTCCATTACCACCGGGACGATCCCCATCAGCCAGTCTTTCTGTATCTGGACACATCCGGGTTGGGCCTTAGGATTGAAAAATTAGGATGTCAGGTCTCATGCTGTTAGGAGTCTAAATACGAGTCGGTGAAGTTGCAATCAACGTTTTGAGAAACATGTTAAAAGTAACCGCACATCTGACTGCAAATGCAATTGCAGAGAGTGAAACAGAATCAACATTCAAAATAGAGGCTTATTGTAAATCCATGCATACTAAAATTTTAAACTTACACATTAAAGTCCTTATTGTATTAGTAAATCAGTATGTTTTCAGTCTTTCAAAATCAAGAGCAAATAATTTATCCAAAGGAGCAATTAGAAGAGATGCTGACAGAAATAGTCAAAATATGCATCGCTGAATGCCTCCTATCATGAAATAAAAAATAAAAAGAATAAAAATATAATAAAAAATATGTATAGCATTAGTGGGTCTGCTCTTTTGGCAATATTATCTATATCTATAGCTTGTTGTTTTTTTCTCTTGAGAGTCTCACTCTGTCATCCCAGGTAGAATGCTGTAGTAACTCACAACAACCTCAAACTCCTGGGCTCAAGTGATCCTCCTGCCTCAGTCCCTCAAGGAGCTGGGACTACAGGCACCCACCACAATGCTCAGCTAATTTTTCGGTATTTACCAGAGACAGGCTCTTGCTCATGCTCAGTTTGGCCTCAAACTCCTGCGCTCAAGCGATCCTCCGTCCTCGGCCTCCCAGAGGATTGGGAGCATTACAGGCATGAGCCACTGTGCCCAGCCTGCTTATGTCTTAATTGACAAAACTTAATCTAGGTGTCTAGCACAACCAAAATAATTTTAAAATTTTTTTCTCTGTGATATTTAAGTTGAAGAAGAGGCTAAGAATCAGCATTCTCCAGCATTAGTTCCCACTTACATCTAATACGAAGCACGGTCTATCACCCATCGTTGACAGAGACCTGTTCTTTTCCCTTACCCTGCACAGTGGACTTGGCAGAGTTTCTAATGGTCAATGTACCATTTAGCAACAGGTCATTATTAAGAGGAATTATTTCTAATGTAAAATACCATGCATTAGATACATATGCCTTGCCTCTCACCATTAGTAGTTCAGTGAGAGACTGCAGGGCCTGCTTCCGGACAGACACTGCGGGGTCTCGACACCGGTCTCGCAGAATAGCCAGGTCTTCCGTCATGTTCGAGACTTCACAATACTTCAGAATACTCACTAACACCTGCAAGGCAGATATGCAACCTGAAGTGAGGCCTGAGTCACATAAATCTGCAAAGACAAACTGTGGAATACTTCCTTTTTTTTTTTTTTTTTTTTGAGACAGAGTCTTACTTTGTGGCCTTTGGTAGAGTGCTGCGGCATCACAGCTCACAGCAACCTCCAACTCTTGGGCTTAAGTGATTCTCTTGCCTCTGCCTCAGCCTCCCGAGTAGCTGGGACTACAGCTCCTGCCACAACGCCTGGCTTTTTTTGTTATTGTTGTTGCAGTTGTCATTGCTGTTTTAGCTGGCCAGGAACAGGTTCAAACCTGCCACCCTCCGTATAGGGGGCCAGCGCCCTACCCACTGAGTCACAGGCGCGGCCCAGAATACTTTCTTGAAGTTAGTTTGCGGTCCTTAACATTTTAGGAGGCATGGATTCATCCTTCCTCTCTACAACATCCCATCTTTTACAATCTGATGAAAGCTAAGGCCTTTCTCAGAGAAAACGTGGGACATACATTTTATATAAACAAATATGTATGAACAATTTTACAAAGCTATTAAAATCCACCCAGTTTTATAAAGCTACTAAAATGCCCCCCTAGAATCCCTATTCTAAACAAAAGAAATTAAGGATATAAATTTGTGGTTCTTAAAAAGCCAGCAACTCAGTAGGGAAGCTTAAAAACAGATCATCTTCCAGTTCATCTATACAATTTATATAGAACAGGATCAGGGTCGAGTAACAGCTAAGTGAAAGTGGATTAAGCAAGGAAGATGGCCCTGAGGTTTTAAAAATATTCGTCTTGCTTTGCCAAGTTTTTAGTGCATAAAAGAGAGTGCATTAAAAACGTGGGAAAAAACTCACACCTGGAGTGCAGACCTCCTCACGTTGGTCTTCTCATCCCTAACCCGCTTTCTCAGCATCCCCATGACACATCTTCCTGTGGGGGGAACACCAAAGAGTCATTACGGTCTGAGAAAAACCACACACATTCTAGTACTGCACCACACAGTACTGAGAAAGTACGTTTATCTTAAAGATTCAGTAACTAGCTTGTTTAAAATCATAACAAATCCAAGGATGAAACGGTATAGAAAAAGAAGACAATTTCACTAATCAGTTATTCACCATAAAGCCCATAATTTAGAATATTAAAAATTCAGTTGTAAATCCTGGCTCGCACCTCTAAAATTCTGAGTAAATTATTCAGTTCTTCTATTGTGTTTAGCTACAAACAGGAAAATCTAACCCTTGGGTTGTTATAAAGATTTGATGAGATAATATATAATGGAAACATCAACATTTTTCACTCGAAGCCCTCTTGAAAATTATTAAGAACCCTGAAGAGCTTTCTTTTGGTGGATCATATCTTTTAATATGAATTAAAAATTTAAACTTAAAGTCGTAAAAATGTTTACTAATTCATTTTAAAATAGCAAGACATTGCTGGGTGTAGTGGCTGACACCTGTAAATCCTAGCACTCCGGGAGGCCGAGGCAGGTGGACCACCTGAGCTCATGGGTTCGCAACCAGCCTGAGCCAGAGTAAGACCTTGTCTCTAAAATTAGCCGGGCATTGTGGCAGGTGCCTGTAGTTCCAGCTACTTGGGAGGCTGAGGCAAGAGAATCGCTTGAGCCCAAGAGTTAGAGGTTGCTATATGCACTCTACCAAGGGCCACTAAGTGAGACTGTCTCTAAAAAAAAAAAAAAAAAGAAAATAGCAAGACACATTAAATGGCAATGGACACGTTAAATAGCAATAGTCCCTAAATCGATCTATAAATCACTCCCTATGAAATTCAATATGGCTTACGTTTTTGCAGAAATTCACAGCTGATTCTAAAATTCATATGGAAATACAAGGGACCCAGAATACCCAGACCATTTTTTTAAACAAATATGGAGAACTTCCACTTTTCCTGATTGCAAAACTTAACTAAAGGAAACCAGAATGTCACCCCAAATTATGCTTCTTTGATACAAAAATTATTTTTGAGCTGAAGGCAATTAAGCAGCAGCAAACAGAGGAAAAGCTCGGTCTTCTCCCATTTCTGCCTAGAGGTAAGATACAAATTCTTCCTTCTGGAGATGACTCTAGACTTTTATTGGCCAGAGGAATCTACAAACCTCACTTCATGGTTTTCCTCCCCTGTCCAGATAGTTTCCAAGTTGTGATGGTTCAACCTGAGATGTTTTCAACTCTACGCTGGTGAGAATATAATAGATATGTCCTCAAACCATTCCTTAAATTTTGATTTTTTCTTGGGCTAGCGATATACTGTAGGATAAATACTCAGTCATGATGCTGGGCCGTGGGAGGGACCCACAGCTTCCCGCGGGCCACACCGCTGAGGGGGGAGCAACCGAAACTCTACGCTGCCCTGCTGCCAGCAGTTTTTTAGATCCAGTTTTTTATGCTTTTACATCCCATTATATTCACAAAACGCTTCAAACATTTTTTGGGACCTTTCAGCTGTGTTCTGAAATGTTGTTCAGTGCCACATTCAACAAGTTACATAAGATATTAAATGCTTCATTATAAAACAGACTCTGTGTTTGATGATTTTGTCCAACTGTCTGTCAATGCCAGTGTTGTGAGCACATTTATAGCAGGCTAGGTTAAGCTATGACGTTTAGCAGGTTAGTTGTATTAACTGCATTTTTAACTTAGGGTATTTTCAATTTAATGATGGGTTTTATCCCACTGCAATTTGAGGAGCATCTGTATTTACCTTCCTATGGTTTGCTACCCCTGGGAGCCTAAAACTGCTTTCCTTTATTCTGTTCGTTCCCTACAAATTTACTGTTCTTTGAAGATGTTACATAAGTGGACTTTTTTTTTCTGAAACAGAGTCTTACTTTGTCGCCCTTGGTAGACTGCCGTGGCATCATAGCTTACAACAACCTCAGACTCTAAGGCTCAAGCGATTCTCTTGCCTTAGCTTCCCAAGTACCTGGGACTACAGGTGCCCGCCACAACCTACGGCTGTTTTTAGAGATGGGGTCTCGCTCTAGCTCAGGCTGGTCTAGAACCGGTGAGCTCAGGTGAACTGCCTGCCTTGGCCTCTCAGAGTGCTGGGATTACAGGCGTGATCATAAGTGGACTTTTAAGTCACTGCTTTGAGGTTCTTTGCCTGAAGTTTCTCCTGCATGACTGATGAGCACTTCACACATTAATAAACTCAATTGTTTTTCTTGTTGTCTCATTAATCTTTCTTTATTTTATTTTTGAGACAGTCTCAAGCTTTTGCCCTGGGTAGAGTACCCTGGTGTCATAGCTCACAGCAATCTCCAATGCAGGCTAAAGTGAACCTCTCACCTCAGTTTTTCTATTTTTACTAGAGATGGGGTCTTGGTTTTTTTTTTTGTTCAGGCTGGTCTTGAACTCGTGAGCTCAAGCTATCCATTTGCCTTGTAATCTTTCTTTTTGTACAGGGGTCCGTCCCGACTGAGAACTCATGAGGTTTGTGGGAAAGGTTATTTTCCCCTTTCACACTGTAATGCGATGGCAATTAACATAGTGATGTAGTGGCATCACCAAAGACATACAGATTATCTGAATAAAATTAAGAGTAAGAAATATGCTCACAAGCTCATACAAATAGTCGATTGGTTTTCTACAAGGGTGTCAAGACCATTCAAAGTAAAGAAATAGGGCTGGGCACATGCGCACGCACAAAAGCTTTTAAACATAAAGACACGTGTCTCTTCGATTGCTCCTTAAGAGATGAAACTTCAGGAATTTATGTTTTATTATTTATCTACAATGCCTAGAACAGATTAGGAAGGATCAGATGTTTATTTAATGAATAAATCTAATTATATAATGAATCCTCCACACCCAATTTTCTCTGTCTTATATCTCTTTAAATCACTTCCCTAATATTATTTCCACCGATTCTTACAACAGCCCTCTGTGAAAGACAGGGAAGGTGTTAGGATTGGGAGATGGTAGTTAGGGAGCTTTGCTGACCGCCACGCCCTGGGTCATGCAGCTATTTAGTGACTGAGGAGGTACAAGAACTGAGACGGCCCCGCATTTCAATCACAGTATTACATATTCTGTCACATGACAGATGAAAAAGGAGCCTGGAGAAGTGACTTTCTCAAGATCACACAGCCAGAAACTAATCTGTCAGAGGTTCTTGGTCTATCTAACACTTAAGACTGCAGGTCTGTTCTCTCCCTCCTGATTCAACTGACACGCCAACATTCCTGACAAGTCAAGAAAAGATTCAGCACCAACTGTGCCCTGTGCTGGAGTTCATGGAAGAAGGACCCCACGACCTCCATATGATGTGGAGGACCTGATAAAATGGACTCATAATGTTGAAGAGAAATTATAAGCTAAATTAGAAGCCTTCTTGTAGTCCCCTACCATGCATTAGATGTGGATTCTGGGACCGCTTATTCGCTGTCAATGTGACGTGATAGCAAAAGCAATGTGGAATGAACCAGGAACAAGACTGGGGACTGTTCACCGTTCTCTCTGTTTTAGGATGACTTTACCCCAAACAGAAATTTATTTAGGTTGGTGCAAAAGTAAGTGTGGTTTTGGGCCATGAATTTTAAATCATTATAACTAGGTTCAAACACATCTTTATCAATCAAAATAGGAACCATTGGGTGGCGCCTGTGGCTCAAAGGAGTAGGGCACCGGCTCCATATGCCGGGGTGGTGGGTTCAAACCCAGCCCTGGCCAAAAACTGCAAAATAGGAACCATTCCCATCAACACTTTGTCGCCAATGAGAAATAAGTTGGTTTCATTCTGTAGTGTAAAAATTCCTGCTTCGGGATTTGACAAACTCTTAGAAAGCATTTTCTGCATCCTATACGATGTGGAAGCATTTTCCCTGCAAAAAAGTTGTCAAGATGCTTGAAGAAGTGGTAGCTGGTTGGTGAGCGGTCAGGCGAATACAGCAGATGAGGCAAAACTTCATAGCCCAATTTGTTCAGCTTTTGAAGAGTTGGTTGTGCAATGAGAGGGTGGGTGTTGTCGTGGAGAGGAATTGGGCCCTTTCTGCTGACAGTGCTGGCTGCAAGCGCTGCAGTTTTCAGTGCATCTCATCAGTTTCCTGGGCAGACTTCTCGGATGTGAGGGTTTTGCCAGGATTCAGAAGGCTGCAGCGGCTCAGACCCGCAGCAGACCACCAGACACCAACCAGGACCTTTTTGTGGTGAAAGTTTGGCTTTGGGAACCACTTGGGAGGTCCCTGTTGGTCTAACCCCTGAGCTGATTGTTGCTGGTTATTGTATGAAATCCATTTTTGTCACACGTCCCAATCCAATCGAGAAATGGTTTGCTGTGGTGTAGAATAAGATGACACGTGAAAATGACGATTCCTCTGATTTCCGATCAGCTCACGAGGGACCCACTTATCAAGTTTTTCACTTTTCAATTTGCTTCAAAAGCTGAGTGACCATAGAATGGTTGACACTGAGTTCTTCAGCAACTTCTAGCTGTCAGAGGACCAGCTTCCGTGACTGCTCTCAACTGGCTGCTGAACATCTGATGGTTGGCCACTCTGCTCATCTTCAGGCTCCTGTCTCTTTGGCGGTCTTCTTGAACCACCACTGCACAGTACGCTCGTTAGCCGTTCCGGGGCCAAACGTGTTCTTGATGTTGCGAGTTGTCTCTGCTGCTTTACAATCCATTTTCAACTCATATAAGAAAATCACTAGAATTCACATTTTGCCTAACATCATTTCCATAGCCCCCAACAAATATAAAATAAACAGCAAGTAATAAGTTGTTAGCAAGAAGACATAAAGCAAAGGGTGTGCATTAAAATGATGTAGGACATAACCGCATTTATTTAAGAATGCGTTCCAGTGCCAAACAGCAAATTTCAACAACGTAAAAACTGCAATTACTTTTGCACTAACCTATAATCTCCACTGCACTCTCCCTAGGAATGGGTCCTTTCTTGTCAATAATCCCAACGGTTCGCAACAATTGACTTTAATAATAAAATAAAACATTCTACTATTCTTTTAGGTGTTACAAGTACTGAGGTGGGGAGGTCAGTACATGTTAACTACCATGTGCCCCATTCTTTATGTTAAAATGAAATACAGCGTAGTATCAGGGTATCAATTAAAGACATAAAAACAATTCTTCTACTTTAAGAAAAAATGGTGTTTTCATTCTTAAGGGTCAATTAATCAGAAAAAAAACCCCAAAGTTTCTAGACTGTACTTAGGGTTATCTGAAATCCAGTAGTATTACTAGTCTGACAGTGATCAATCTAACATACCTCCAGATCCAACTGTTTCACCATCGCTGATTACGTTGATATCACTCGAGGGTTCAGAAGGGATAAGGGTCTGCCTTTGATAGGAAAAAGCTTAAAAATTAAAAAAAAAAAAGAAGCACAGTCACTAAAGTAACAAATGTGTTATACTTTTTAATAACATAAGCATGGCATGTTACTCATAGAAGTTACTATGTTATCACTGAAATTTCAACTTCTCTAGTGACAAAAAGAGTACATTATAATTCTAATAGGTAAGTAGGAAGATGGATAAAACATTTCAAATATTCAGGAAATTTTTAAAAGACAATTATTCAATATTTGAAAATATACTTAGCCATTACCTGATGAATTTCTCTGTGTGGTACCAGGGTAACTCTCTATTCCTAAAATTGTAGAACCTGAAAATAAGCAGATCAGAAAGGAAGTTACAGTAGCATAACCCCTGAGTAAATATCCACAGAGGGATCCCAATCGAGACGTTTAGGTCTAAAAGCAAAGCAGGCTGATTCTACACTGCTGACCATTGATCACACTCCCCTTGATACGCACTTGAAATGGTACTGGGTCCAACCAGTGCCTACCAGTGCCAAGAGTAGTACAGGCAGCCAACAGTCCCTCCTCTCAATATGAACGTCTGAAATTAAAGGCCTTTTCAAATGTATCAGGCTTGCACATTTAAAAACATATTTGACAATAAAACATACTTTAAACAGTTTATGAGGATAAAAATAGATCATAATCAGGTCGGTTATTTCTGCCACATCAAAGAATGATTCCCTTGCAGTCTATTTCCTGCTAAGTGCAAGGTCAGTTTCATGTCACAACGGTCCCCATACTTACTGCTAAGCAGGAGTTCCAGGATACTCTCCGATGCAGTGGTTGCCGTCAGTTCCAGACAATGTGCAAAGCTGGTCAATGCCTTGCTGCGGACAGTAGGAGCCTTGTCTGAACAACGGTCAAACATGATCTCTTGCACCAAGAACTTATGCTTTGTAAACTTCTGAAGCTCCAAGGAGAGAGTGCTATCCCCCTCTCTTTCAGGGAGTTCTAACAGAGCTAAGACAACATCAAGAGTAAAAATTCGGTGTGGGATCTGATGAAGCAAAAGCATAAGAATTGCATGAGATAGGAGTGAGAATCAGAGAAACCTTTCTTCTCAATCAGAGCTGGCTACTACTAGAAGTTTGCAGAGCTAGAACCCAAGATGAGATGTAGATATATCTCATACCTTAGAACTTCGTGAATATTTGTAAAGCCAGGCAATGAATGTAGCATACTCCTCACAAGAAAGTTTACTGAGCAGCTGGACGAGGGCCTGGGCTGCAGAGGTCCGATACTCTGATTTATCTATCACCTGAAACACAAAAATGGAGACGCTGCCAAGCCAAGATCTCCGTGCAGGACAACAGAAACATGTTATAACACAGTGGGGAAATCAGTGAGTGTAACTAGTACTGGTCTTTAAATACCAGGTAAATTGCTAATATATTTTAGGTTTTAGACCCCTTTGAAAACTAACTTGTAAGTAATCTATAAGCCCTCTCCCCAGAAAAATGTACATACAAATTTAGCATTCAATTTCAGAGAGGTTATGGACCCATGTTGTCTACAGGTCTCAAACTGAGAAGCAATTTCCTAAATGGTTATAAAAATTTAAGAGATAATTATGGAAATAGGAACACTGGAAAGTGGTTTAAAGTAAAGAATTAACTGTGTATTTTTTTTAGGTGTGTTAAGATTTTGTAGTTATGTTTTTCAAGAATCCTTATCCTTTAGAGAAACAAACTGAAGAAAAGATGTGATAGAATTTCCTTCATAAAAACAATCTATCATTCCTTCTAAACGACGCCCTTCCAAAATCCAGTGTGTGTATTATTTGTATATACATGAAACACACAGGTATGTCTAGGTTGGGGAGAACGGAAGGGGTATAAAAGAAAAAGGACTGTTGCAGAAGACGGGTGAAGAGTATCTGGGGGTTCAACATCTCCTCCTCCTCGTTTCTATGTGTGCGACATTTTCCAAAATGAAAACTATTTCTTTTTTTTTTTTTTTAAGGGATTTTTTTTTTTTTTTTTTTTGAGACAGAGCCTTAAGCTGTCCCCCTGGGTAGAGTGCCATGGCTTCACAGCTCACAGCAACCTCCAACTCCTGGGCTCAAGAGAGTCTCCTGTCTCAGCCTCCCAAGTAGCTGGGACCACAATGCCCGGCTATTTTTTGGTTGCAGCCGTCATTGTTGTTTGGCGGGTCCGGGCTGGATTTGAACCCGCCACCTTAAGTGTATGTGCTGGCGCCTTAGCCACTTGAGCCACAGGCGCCAAGCCTGAAAACTATTTCTTATAGCACTCTCTGTCTGGGGGAACGTCTAGTGACTGTTAAACAAGATTGCTTTTGGTAATAACCAAGACTCATTCCCGAGAACATGCACACACGCGCACACACGTCGCCTTCACATGCTCGAGACGTCCATGTGAACTACAAACACGCGGTACCTTGGCACAGATGTGCTGCAGCAGGATACGGAGCACAGGGAATATGCTCTCCCCCAGTTCATCCACCAGCGAGCTATTCAAAAGAAAAGCACATCCACCATTTACACAACAGCGAGTGATGCTGACCTCAAAAACCACTGCTTCTACACAGGCAGTCCCTGGGTCACAAACAAGACAGCTTTGAAGGTTTATTCTTTTTTTTTTTTTTAAATATGGAACACTTCATGAATTTGCATGTCATCCTTGAGCCGGGGGCCATGCTAATCTTCTCTGTATCGTTCCAATTTTAGTATGTGTGCTGCCGAAGCGAGCACTATAGGTTTATTCTTAAGTTGAATTGTACGCAAGTTGGAATAGGCATATGTGCCTATCACCTGTAATAGCCCCCATTCATAAGTGTGAGTCATATGTCAGCTGGATGTTTGGAACTTAGGGACTTACCATAATAACCTCCATTGGTAAGTGTGGGGTGTGTAAGTCGGATGTTTATAACTCAGGGACTGCCTGTATTTAGAACCTACATATTAAAAAACAATCTATCCTTATAAGAGTTGTCTCAGTGGAATAAAGACTAAAGATATAACAAACGGTATAAAACTAAGTACTTCCACGCACAGTTTTGAGAGTTGCTGCTGAGGAGCTGAGTCCTTTGGGAAGAGCACCAACGTAATCCTTAGGAGACTCTTTTGACTGCTTATTCAATTGTTAAGATGTAAAATATATCCATTTGGGGCAAATATAAAATTGACTAAAACACAGTACCGCCTCATGGAGGCTCAGCAAAATGCTGCTCCTTCAGCACGCCTGTAACATTGGTCTCCAAACTTTAACCCAGGCAGGGATTATAATGCCCGGACTTAAGCCATTTTCAGGGCTAAATTTACCTACACCATTATACAAAAAATTATTGCTACTAGCAATATGATGAACTCTCATGGAAAAACCAAAGCCAACAGTGTTAAAAATAATCCCTAGTAAATTTGCTCAGTGACAAAATGACATCATCCATGCCCCGTGTCTTGAACCACAGTACACACTGCCTCCCTGCAGCTGTGGACACCCTTGCCACGTCTCTGCACCACTTCCAAACTGCACGCCAAACATTCAGTAAAGGAGGGAAAGAGAAACCGGGGCCAGGGCAAACGTGTCTCAGCCCATAAAGCTAAGACACGAGACTATTTTTAAGTGAAGCTGAGTAACTCACGAGGGAAAAGGTAGTCTATCAATAATTGCTAAGGAAGTAAAAAGCAACTTAACTCTTCCCTTCAGGAAGTATTTTCTGTAGGGGGAAAAGAATAGAAAAGTGAGAAGAAACAAGGGAAAAGTGGCAAAGAACAATGCAAAGAGACACAGAGCAGAAAGGAAAAGAAGAGAGAAAGAAGGGGCCGGGGTGTTGCAGTGGTGGGAGAAAAGGTCGGGTGTCTGTCCTCTCCGAGGCAGACCTCACGGGCTGGATGCAATTCAGCTGGAGGCTGGCTCTGGCCCACGCAATGCAGACTCCTTACCTCTTTAACAATGTGCCACTTGGAGGGTACCAACAGTGACCCAGGCCGCGTGTACCTGATTAGCTATAAAGTACCTTACTATGGCCCCCCAAACCATCATCAGGCCAGGAATTCTAACTCTGTAAGTGACAGAAATCCTGGTTGGCAGAGGGTCCAGAGAGCCGAGGGAGAGGGAAGAAGAGTGAAAATTCAAGATGTGTGTGCGTCACCTGATAAACCGGATTGCCTGGTTTCTGTGATTGACGACTTGGGCAGTGATGGTCAGAGGGGTGCGATGGGATCCTTTGCCTGCCTCTAGCATTAGCAGTACATTGAGCAGATGATGGAAAACATAACTGATAACCTGGAAGAGAAAAGACATTTCAGTTTTAAAGCCTGACAGAGAATTCAAGGGCCTTAGAGTGATACAGACTCTAGGAAACCACTTCAAGTCATGTGAAGGTAAGTCAGGTTAGCATAATTGCTGGCTGAATACCGGGGATGTATTTTTTGATAATTACTGGGCCTTCAATAAATATATTATATAATGTAAACACTGCAAAAGAATTGCTGATCCTGGTTAGAGTATCATAGAATTTCTCTCTCCACCTCCTACATGTTCTAACCCGGAATTTAGGGCAATTCATTGTCATTTACAAATGGCAAAGAATGCTACTAATACTCCCTTATAAAAGAAAAGGGGAAGATGGCTGGGTGTGGTGGCTCACACCTGTAACCCTAGCACTTTGGGAGGCCACGGTGGAAGGATCGCTTGAGGTCGGGAGTTCAAGACTAGCATAAGCAACACAGTGAGACTCTGTCTCTACAAAAAACATAGAAAAATTAGCCTGGCATGGTGGCAGATGCCTGTAGTCCCAGCTTCTTAGTAGGTTGAAGCAGGAGGATGGCTTGAGACCAGAAGTTTGATGTTGCAGTGAGTTACCTTGACACCACTGCACTCTAGCCCAGACAACAGAGCAAGACCTTGTCTCAAAAAAAAAAAAAGAGTGGGGAAGGGGAAGAATGATCGCTTACACTTATATTTTACCTGTACTTTACAAGGAATCTTTTAATATACTATCTCATAATTTGGTCAACGGGTTAATTCCTTCATCTAGTAAATAAAACATTTACTAAAAACCCAGTCTGTGGTTGTATTAAGCACTTTCACATATACAGCGAGATTGGACTACATTTAATTTTAAACCTCACCGAAACTCCATAAGGACATAAATAATTTTCATTGTACAGATAATTTAAAAAACTCCAAAGGTGGGCTGTCCAAGTTTAAGCCAATTAAAGATCTGGTTATCACTTGACTAGCCTTAAAAAAAAAAAATAAAGTCTGGTTAAAACCACTGTTGCCCGGCATTAAGTCAATACTTTCACAGTTAAAAAAATATATCTTTTGAGACACAGTAGACCCAAATGGATACATTTTCCCATCTATTTGATCTTTTTTTTTGATGGAATCTTACTTTGTTGTCCTTTGTAGAGTGTTATTGCGTCATAGCTCACAACAAACTCAAATTCTTGGGCTCAAGTGATCCTCTTGCCTTAGCCTCCCAAGTAGCTGAGACTACTGACACCTACCACCTTGCCCAGCTACCATCTATTTTATCTTTTAAAATGCTAAAAAAAGGGCACAGAAATTAAAAGCATTAATGTGAATTCTATCACATTCCTATTTCAGGCACACAGAAATGATAAAGCTATAAAACAAAGTATTAAATGTTTTGTAAATAAGAGGTATTGTGCTCAGCATTTGACATGCTTATCTCCTTTCTGTAAAATCTCAGATTAATGGGAGGGCACAAACAACTAGGTTACAATGTTGGCAGCTGTTAGGTAGACTTCCTCTTGTTGATGTGCTTAATTTCATTGAGTCTCAATCCATAAGGAAGGTAAGACTTTTTTTTTTTTGTCCAGATGCAAAATATGACACTTTTGCCAGGTTTTATAACACATATGTGTGTGACACATTGCTCGTAAGTGGTAGAGTCAGAATTTGAACAGAGATGTGCAGAACCCCAAGTAATGTTTTTAATGTCAATGAACGTCTACCATGAGCCCAAATCTTAACCATGTTATGGCCTCTGCAAATTAGCTGTATCTCAGCCACCAAGTCACATGACCTTGGTGCATCACAGTTTTTGCAAAGTGTTATTGCTTTCTTAATCATATCTAAGTTTGGCTCCACCATGGATGAATAATGCTGATTCCAATGTTTATGCCAGTGATAATATTAATGTTGCTTGGGGAGCCAAGCCCAGATACCAATTCTAATCAGGAATGAGAAGCTAAAATTCTTATAGGACTCCAACTACAATAATACAAATACTAACAGAAATACTGGAGCACATGTGAATTGACAAAGAGAAACTCAAAAATTCTATGATTATTCTTTTCAAAATGATTTGATGAATTTTTTTTATAACAGTAACTGTTCCGCAGTTTATCCATTCCTCCTACCTTACTGACATCAGAATAATTTTTTTCTGCTTAAACCTAACAATAATTCGCAGTGGCCAACAAATACTTTGATATAAAATTGGCAATGAAGAACTGACATCGAACAGAAACAGTGGTATCTATCACACAAATAATATAAGATCCAGTAAATCAGAATGGCGTTCCATCAAATGCTTTTAAAGTCTTTCCATCATATGGTTTGTCTGCTTTCTTTTTATTTTTAGATAGAGCCTCAAGCTATCCCCTGGGTAGAGTGCCATGGCATCACGCTCACAGCAACCTCCAACTCCTGGGCTCAAGCGAGTCTCCTACCTCAGCCTCCCAAGTAGCTGGGACCACAGGTGCTCGCCACAACACTTGGCCTTTTTTTTTTTTTTTTGGACGCTGCCATCATTGTTGTTTGGCGGGCCCGGGCTGGGGATTCGAACCCGCCACCTTAGGTGTATGTGGCTGGCGCCTTAGCCGCTTGAGCCACAGGCACTGAGCCGGTTTGTCTGCTTTCAATCTAACTAGTAACTGAATTAGATCCTCATCTCCTTTACCTTGTCTCCTTCTCCATGAATTGGGGAACACAGCAAATATAATCCACAATAGGCCAATTCTGGGATGTATTTTGCTTGGTTAAGATCTCTAAAGAAAAAAGGCAAGACGTTATTTAATGAATATGATCTTTACTCAAGAGTATTTCTTAACTCTCAAAGCCATATTTAAGTGAATAAATTCTACCCATGTGCTAATTAAAATAGAATGGCATTTGTATTTCTGCTGGAACAAAAATGATTACACTATTATTTAAACTGTAGCACCGGAAGATTTAATGGCTCACCTAACTTGTGTAATATTAAATTCATGAGGAACAGGCTCGAAATTCGTTAATGCAACAAAGACCTGGAAAACAGATACCAAAAAAAGGCCTGATTTTTTTTGCGCTCATTAAATATTAGTCTATGCCCTTTGAAGTTGTCCCAAGGTTCTTGTAATCTTCACTTACCTCTATACAATTCTGTACACATTGCGGCTTCTCTTTCAGGGAAAACTTCGGCAGAAGCCTTAAAAAATTCTTCAAAAGGTGAAACATGGCATTTCGAATTTGAGAAAGATCTCGGGTAGAAAAACAAATATTCTCTTCATCTTCTTGTTCTTCTATAATTTCATCCATCTAGATTACAAAGAAATACGTGGGGGACTGTGTGATAATGCCTAGCACTGTGTCCCACAGTTTTTGATTTACTCAAACTCAGTGTAGTTAAATCCAGGTACTACTAGCTGACAGAGGTGACGTGACTTTGACCAAGCTGCTTGACTGGTCTAGGTCTCCAGGGTCACAATGGTAAGTTACCAGGTGAGAAGACCACTTCAGTACTTTCTACCTCTGTGGGGTTTTTGTGTCAATGAAAATTCTTATGCTTCTTGGAAAAATTCTCTTTTGAGGCAGAGTCTCACTCTGTTGTCCTGGGTAGAGTGAGTGCCCTTGTATCGTAGCTCACGGCAACCTCAAACTATTGGGCCCAAGCAATCCTCTTTCCTCAGCCTCGTGAGTACCTGGAACTACAGGTGCCCGCTACAACACCTGGCTAGTTGTTGTATTTTTAGTAGAGACAGGATTTTGCTCTTGCTCAGGGTGGTCTCGAACTCCTGAGTTCAGGTGATCCACCTGCCTCAGCCTCCCAGAGTGCTTGGATTACAGGCCTGAGCAACAGTGCCCAGCCTGGAAGTCTTAATGTTAATGAACCTCTACCATCCTACCTTGTCACACAAGAATTTGGAATTAAAACTATTCAGCTCTTAAGGACACATGCCCTCAGTGTACCTCAACCACCCCCTCTAACAACAAAAAGAAGGTGAATGTGGCAAACACACCAGTAAGAATGTTGTCAAGTATCCCTAGGAACAGGGCTGGGGGGAGATGACCAAGACACTAGAAAGACAGCAAGGCAGAAAAGTGTCCTTAGAAGTGAATGAGGTACAACTAGTACTGAGTAGCTAGTTTAAAGAACCTTCTGTGGGTGGCGCCCATAGCTCAGTGGGCAGGGTGCCAGCCACATATGCAATGGCTGGCAGGTTCAAACCCAGCCCGGGCCTGCTAAAACAATAATGACAACAGCTACTTGGGAGGCTGATGCAAGAGAATTGCTTAAGCCCAAGAGTCTGAGGTTGTTGTGAGCTGTGATGCCATGGCACTCCACCCAGGCAACAGCTTGAGACGCTGTCTCAAAAATAAATAAATAAATAAATAAAAGGATCATTTGCTTATAAACATGATACCTGAAATCATACTTATTATAAACTCAATCCTTAAACAAAATCACGTATCTATATAGATGTGTTTTATACACTTTAGATAAAAAGCCGGGGCGTGATTTTGTAGAGATCTGTTTTGTTATCCAATTTACTTCTTACATCAATATATTCTTTCCTGGGTGGCTTTCCTCTTTTTCTGTGCCTCGTTGGATTAGCCTGAGAGCTTGTGGGCTGCTCTTTCTTTCTTTTCCGATTCAAGGCAGATTCCTGAGGCCAGCTCTTCTTCAGAGTCTGAACACATTTGTCAAACATCACTGGGTGGAAAACTTGGTTGGCTACACTGCCTATTCATAAAGAAGAAAGAGTGAGCAGGCTGGACTTCACAGTCTCCAAAGACATCTGCAACAACAGAGGAGAAGTTAAAAAGCACAATAGAGGCTTTTCACTAACTTAGAATAACAATGAACCTTTAGCAAAAGAGTACCATTTTCAACCTCAGCCTTAGGAGAGGAACAACAGTGTTGAACTGGAAACAAATAACAAGATTTTCACACCCAGTCATGATAAAATAACTGGTTTTACACTTGTTCTCTTGGCTGTAAACTATACAAGTGGACAAAAATTTATAAACTAACTATTTTAAGATACTGGGCACCAGGTGGCACAGAAACGCAATTCCTGAGAAAAGGAGGTAAACGCTACAATTGGCCCAGACTCGTATCCAGAGGTGATTTCTGGGCAACAGCAGAGACATGGTAGATGTCAGCACATTATGATGGTCTTACTAAAGTAGAGAAAACAGGCTCAGCGCCTGGGGCTCAAGAGGCTACAGTGCCAGCCACATACACCTGAGCTGGTGGGTCTGAATCCAGCCCAGGCCTGCCAAACAACAATGACTTGTGCAACCAAAAAATAGCTGGGCATTGTGGCAGGTGCCTGTAAGCCCAGCTACTAGGGAGGCGGAGGCAGGAGAATCGCTTGAGCCCAGGAGTTGGAGGTTGCTGTGAGCTGTGATGCCACGGCAGTCTAGCCAGGGGGACAGCTTGAGGCTCTGTCTCAAAAAAAAAAATTTAAAAAAAGTGGGGAAAATAGAGCCTAAAAGACAGGGTAGTTGGATTCAGAGAACAGAGTGCTGGAACTGAGGAAGCTACACAGAAAAAGAGGTCCAGAAACCTGCACAGGGCTGAATATGAGCTACTCATGTATGGGTTGAAACTCCATCACAGAGGGCAAAAAAAATATTTCCAAGGAGCTACTGTAGAGGGTAAGTTATGTCCCCAACTCACACAGGGATAAGACATTTCAGACCTTGTTACACACCAGGGCATTCACTTGGTAGAGCCCTAAGCCACAGCCCTTAATAAGTAGGGTTGAATTGGGTGCAGCGTAAAGGCTGCTTTATATCTGCCCTGACAAAGTTTTCAAACAAGCTTCCAAAGGGACCAAGGCTGCTTGTCAAAACATACTTCAACACTATTTAAAGGCAAAAACCAAAATTCAGACACTTGATAACCTAATAGGACAAATGTTCAGGATCCAATAAAACAAATCACTGGGCATGCTCAGAACCAGAAAAACCTGCCCCTTCATAAAAAGGAAACTCAGCCAATAATAATAGTCTAAGAAATGACAGAGGTAATGGCACTAGCCGATAACCACCTTAGAGCAGGTATTATACATAAGGTCAAGAATTAAAAGTAAATACTGTGAGTTGACCACCCAAGGGACTGTAACGAACTGGCCAACATACAGAGGTGGTCAACATAAAGAAGGAGGCCTACAGTACTGACAGGTGCATGTCGTGTAGCGGGTGAGTTGAGGAGGTGCCCAACTATGGAGGTTCTACCCTGAGAAATGAAAACAATTTCAAAAGGATCAAATGGAACTTACTTGACTTGAAAAAGAAACATTCACTGCATGGGCTTAATTGTGGACTAGCATTACACAGACAAAGATAAGCAAACTTGAAGATGTAAGAGACGCACAGGAACAAAACAGTTGGTAGACTCACTGACTTGTGAAAGAGAATCACTGTCAAACGTGAATCACCAGGAAGGAAGGGAATGAAGAAAACATTTGAAGAAATAGTACCTGAAAATTTTCCAAATTTGTTGGAAACTGTAAATAGTTCCAAGAGAGTCAGTGAACCCGACCATAATAAACACAAAAGAAATCACTAAAAGCGTAGATAATCGAATTAAAAACCCAAACCTGTCAACTCAGAACTTTGCATCAGGGAAAAATATTCTTTTTTTTTTTTTTTTTTTTTTTTTTTTTTTTCCTCACT